GAGGAAGAAGAGAAAAACTGGAAGGACTGAGGCAGTCCCCGCACGCACACCCACTTTGATGGGCCTCCGCGCTCCCCCTCCCCTCCTGGCCTCGTCTCGCCATCCTCCCTCAGCCCCAACAGCACTCAGCGCAGAGAGAGAGGCACGTTTTAAAAATGTCATTATACTCACAAGCAAATAGAGAGAGAGGGGGGAGAATTAAGTGCCTACTGTTTGAGGGCTCGGGGGCTCACAAACACACTACCTGTACATGAAAGCAACGCCCAGCTTACGTGTCGTTAGCCGTGCATGCAAGTTTGTATATAATGGATTGAGCAGACGGCCGGCTGCGTAGCAGGTGGAGGAGGAAACACAGCCATCTAGCGTGCAGTCCTCCGTTGGGAGGTTTATTGGCGTATTCAGTATATATCCCAGTGTAGTGGCGAGTGTCCTTAGGAAGACTTGGTTTATGTGGGACGTTCGCATATCAGACATACGATATGTGGTGAAACTGCCTAGACGTATTACTTGCAGTCCAAATGGTCTGTGGACTGTGTCTTGGACAGTGTAATTGCTCAACATTAAGCTAACGCATTGCGTAACGGACTCTCTCTTTACACACCCATTATATATCTGTTTTTATTAGTAAAGAAAAACAGGACACGAGGAGTGAAAATCGTGGCTAGATCGCAGGTGGTAGCCAGGCCCCGTATTACAGGTGGCTGGAGGGTTGTTTACTGGGGCTATTTTGTTGGGTTCCATAATCACATCTGACCCATTTGGCTTCCATTTTACGTTTGAGGTTAGGATTAGGGTACCGGTTAATGGTTTTCGATTTCCGGGTTAGGGTTATGCTTTTAGGCTTAGGTTTTCGGGTTATGGTTAGGGTTTTAGCGTACGATTAGGCTTCAGTACTACGGTTAGGTTTTTTCAGTTAAGGCAATGTCCAAGGGCTAGGGTTGTGTTTATGATTTCGGTTAGGGTTAAGGTTGCCGCTAGAGTTAACGGTTAACGCTTATGGTTGAGGTTAGGGTTAGGGTTAAGGTCGCCGTCCGTTTCTCCATTCCTGGCTACCAACTGCGATCTAGCCAAAATCGTTGTTTATTTATATCCCAACCTGCAGTTTTAGACGCGTTGGTCGGTGCGGTGGCATTAAACTGCTTATGTAGAGGGGGGGTCACCGATCGCGCTACGGACCACACTCGTCCCGTTGTGCCTTACCGGCTCACTCTCGAGCCCCGCCAACAGTTACGTAATGGCGTGTAGTATGGGCATGTGAAGGCAATTACAATTTCGAAGAAATTACCCAGACACGCAAAAATTCTGTAAAATTATTCTTTGTTTAAGAGAACCATAACCCGTTTTTTGCAATCCGAAAACCTCCCGCATATTTTGGGTGCTGATTCCACCCATTTAATCTACCGTAGTGATGGAGTTTGTGGTCTCTGACCTCCTGGCCCGTCTCACCACCGGCAATTTCTGCAGCCGCCAGCGAGCAATGGTTTCTCAATGCCTATGTTTGGTTCAGTACCAATTTCATGAGAAGGAATTGGGACAGAAAATATCCGAAACAGTGTTGCCCATCCCTTCCTGGACTGACGTCATTTCATGGGCAGCTGTTTTTTCCCCTGAACCATCCAAACTACAAAAACCTCATTCTCAGTATTTAATCATAAGGAGTCTTTTTGACTGTTAGCCCGATCCATGCTTTATATTTATTCGAATGTGCCTGTAAACTAGAATTAAATACAGTTGTTATCATTATCATTATCGACAAAGACGAATGACGATTTCTGGCTTGTTAGCCGTCATCCGCTGGCCATACCCAACCCCGAGGTGTGCAGCACCCGTTGGACTTTTGATCAACAGGTTGCGGGATCGACCCCCAGGAATTTCCCACGTCGGGGTTAGGTGTAGCTGACTGACGACGACTAGTAATTCGTACATGTTTTGACAGATTTTGAATAACTCATATTGACCCAACTATGAAAAACTCGGCGCCTCGGTGGGATTCGAACCCATGACAGTAAGATGAAGGATTTAGTACAGCCAACGCTCTAAACACCTGAGCTACGAGGCCCCACCGGACGACGCAAGTTTAATCACATTTGGGCCAACTTTATCCGCCCAACCTACAGCAGCGTCTGGAATCCACCAAATCTGATACAGTAGGTTGACTGCCCAAGCAGGATTTCCTAGGTAATTCACCTAGAATACACCAGATGACTAAGAGGCTCACGTAATTCGTAGGTGTAATGGCAGATTTCAAATAATTCATCTATGAATTACATGAGCCTGGTAGTCATCTGGTGTATTCTAGGTGAATTACTTAGGAAATCCTACTTGGGCAGTCAACTTACTGCATCAGATTTGGTGGATTCCAGACGTTACAGTAGGTTGGGCGGGTAAAGTTGACCCAAATGTGATTAAACTCACGTCGTCCGGTGGGGCCTTGTAGCTCAGGTGGTTAGAGCGTTGGCTGTACTAAAGCCTTCCCCCCTACTGTCGTGGGTTCGAATCCCACCGAGGCGCCGAGTTTCTCACAGTTTGGTCAATATGAACGGATGACCAATAAGTCAAAAATAGTCATCCCAGTCTCCCTTGTCTTTGTTGGCAATCTCATTCTTCCATGATTACGCTGGAGAAAAAAAATCGTGAGAACAGTCCCGTATGTCAAATAGGACAAAATGCAAATAAACGCCTTATTTTCATGAGAGCGTGACATCAACACTTCAGAAGATAAAGTGGCGAGTGAACGTTGCTTTCGATAACTTCTCGTCAGGCAACGCCACTATGAGGATTTTCACAACTCTAAAGCATCAACAACTGTAGCTTGGATATTTGTGGGCAGAATGCTATTACCGACAAAGACAAGGGAAATTGGAATGGCCATTTCTGGCTTATTAGCCGTTGTCAGCCAGTCATACCCAAGCCCGAAATGTGGAACGTCCGAGGCTCGAACTCGCGACCTGTTGGTTTAGAAGTCCACGCCTCTACCCACCGGGCAACGGGCCCGTTGCCCTGTCGGTTTTCGATCGGGAATATACAATATTTGTGCATTTTTTTATCCAAAACAACGACAGTGCTGGCAGATAGTATTTTGTCTTGCCACACGTAGTTTTTAGACATATTTAGAGTGTCTCCCAAGAAGAGCATTGGCGACGGTATGGTTTATGGCTGGGGTTACTTACTCCGGGGAGCAAGTAAGCTAGAAGAGAATAACTGGAGATACAGTAGATGTGCTAACTCATGAAATGTCAACCAAAATTTCGAAATGCGTTCTCGTTTCTAAAATATAAATTAAGTAATGATCCAGTTACCTCAGGGTGTCGGCCTTCGAAAGAACTTATTTTCGGCTGCATGCAAGATCTATACTCTGCAAAAAATGACTACTTACGTAGTATGCAATTTTCTCATTGATTTTCGATGCCCTTGACAATTCTAATTATATTTCATGGAAAACATGCATAAAATTATTCATTCTTTTACATATCCGGTAGAAAATCACGTCTTCTTCCAATTTCCTGCTCAAAAGAAGAATATAATTCGGTTTTAAAAAACTTTTCTAATTCCCGAATAATTTTTAACCCGACCTGCTGTTACACTTGCATTCAGGGTTTCAAATCTACAAGCTGTATATTTTTTCGCGTACGGAAAACCATGCATTTCTCTACGGTGCTAAGAGGAGACCATATGAGCTTCATATAAATAAACAGTGGATTTGAGCAATATTGTTAATTTTACAAGCCACACTCGTAAATGCAGATACATGACGTTTCATGAACGGCCATTTAACGGTATTAAAAAATCTCACAATTAGAAACTTTTTTTAAACCGAATTATACTCTTCTTTTGAGTATGAAATTGGAAGAAGATGCGATTTTTACCGAATAAGTAAAATAATGAATATTTTTATGCATGCTTTCCATGAAATATAATTACATTTTCAAGGGCATCGAAAATCAATGAGAAAATTGCATACTACTTAAGCAGTCATTTTTTGCAGAGTATAGATCTTGCATGCAGCCGAAAATAAGTTCTTTCGAAAGCCGACACCCTGTGGTAACTGGATCATTATAGATTTATGCTGCATCATGATTAGCTTTACAACATTACTTAATTTACCTTTTCGAAACGAGAACGCATTTCGAAATTTTGGTTGACATTTCATGAGTTAGCATCTCTTCTCTACATAATTGTACGTTCCAGAAAAAGAACTAAAGACCTCGTGGTGGCTGTTACGTGAGGATGGTCAGGATGCTTTAAGGTAGTCATCGGAGTAAAGATTCGACAATGCAACACCCTTTTGACAATGTCTACAAAGGCACGCCAACTTCATTTAGTATTATAGGCAAAGTAACATTGCCGACAAGGACGAGGGAGGCTGGAATGGCCATTTCTGGCTTACTAGCCATCGTCAGCCAGTCATGTCCGAGAGAGAGAGAGCACTAAGGCACAAATGGAGGGGTAAGTTCCGTAACACGATCGGTGTGCGCCTCTCTACCATTGTTAATATAACCAGTCGCAATCGACAGGACAACGAGCCCGTGGCTAGAGGCGTTTAACTTCTAACCAACAGGTCGCGGGATCGAGTCCGAGGCGCTCCACACTTCGGGATTGAGTATGGCTGGCTGACGACGGCTAATAAGCTAGAAATGGCCACTCCAGTCTCCCTTGTCTTTGTCGGCAATATAACTCTGCCTATATTACGCTCTGCTGGTTGGGCTCTAGAGAGTTCCCTATGGCGCAACGGGACGAGTGAGTTCTTAACACGATCCGTGAGTGTCTCCCCCCTACCGCTTACTATTATCATTAATTGACAAAAATAGCGACCCATTTTAAATGACAACAATATGGTGGATCAAAATTTGTGATACCACAAAGTTCTTAGATGTTCAGCTCTTTTGCTCAACACAAATTTTCCCCGAAATAAGTAAGCCCGGCCATAAACCATACCCTTGCCCAAATATCTATACACTTTAACAACTGACCGCTCTATTTACGCTTCTCTCTTTTCATATTTAGTCCGCCAGAATTAGTAAAATTTGGTTGGACTCGGAAATACGGGCTCCCCTATTACAGGTGGCCTTGGTGGTGGTGGTGCTGGTGGTGGTGGTGGTGCTGGTGGTGGTGGTGGTGGCGGCGGCGGCGGCGGCGGCGGTGGCGGCGGCGGCGGTGGCGGTGAGGAAGAGGAGGAGGAGGATGAGGAGTGGGGGGAGAAGAGGAAAAAGAAGAACGGTCGATCGCAGGAGAAACTTGTTTATATTTGGAGCCTTCAAACTCGAGTGAGAACTCGGCCAGTCGATGTATCGCCCTGGCATCGGCAAATATATCCCTGCGCAGTCACCTCAAAACCCACTTTACTGGTCATTTATTAGCTGACCTCCTCCCTATAACTATTCCTTGTACACCTGCATGAGTTCGAACTTTCATAAAAATCGGAAGGCTTTTTCCAGTGCTCGGCCAGTCTTCTTCCTCTTCCCTAAACACGTTCTTTGCCGATTTTGCGTCGCAACATGGAGTGGCTGGGAATGATTAGGCTCATTAATGTGTTGTCGAAGTTTCTCGTATATTTTAATAATCATCTTGAAGACAAGCCCCACAATTTGCCGAGGGCAATCATCACGATAAATGAGCCGGTGAAGGCAGGATAACATTACCGACAAAAACAAGGGACAGGGGGATGGCCTTTTCTGGCTTATTAGCCGTCATCAGCCAGTCATACCCAACGCCAAGTGTGGACCACTTGAGCTTCGACCCGGGATCATTGGCATTTTTCAATTCTGTTCGTGAAGCCAGAAAGGAACTCTGTGTGGTGCATAGACTGAAGGTGGTATAAAGTTTCACCTGATCAATAAGCGCTAACACCGCTGAGGACAGCGAACCTGGAATGGCCGTATTTGTCCCTCAGACGACCGGTTGGCGGACATACGTTTGATTTGGATAAATTCTCGTCAGGCCAGTTCATCTATATCGGAACCGAGTGAAAGTAGCAATATGTCCGTGATTAGAGAAATCGATAAAAGTTCGTCTTGAAACACAGGCGTATGTGGGACAATGGGAGGGGGGGTTGGGGGTAATGGCAGTCTGTGCGAGCGTCGGGATGAGAGCGGAAGGGCGCGGAGAATCGCATGGTCAGTCAGATTTTGACCACGATAGGCGCGTAGCCTGAACGTCATTCTAGCACAGGTCTGCTAACCTGACTTCTAAAATCGATAAAACGTCTAGTCGCGAAGAGGGAAACACGATTGTTGGAACAAGAGCTTTATTAGCCTGATTTTTTGGTTTCGCACTCGAATCCATCATCAGAGACAGAGTCAGATAAGGGCAGTGGATCACCCAGGTATTGCAGTATTTATAGGCTGCAGTTGCTAGGCCGCTACATGATTATCGTAGTTGGCAGCTCCCGGGTGTATCATGGCTCGACTGGCCAGATGTTGATGTATGCTGTTGCCATGCGGTTGCTGTGCCGGTCAAGCTTATCGGCTCCCACGCTCATCGCACGCAGTCGAGTTGCTGACTGCCAGATTTCGTCATCCGTGCGGACTCTTGGGCAATTTGGCTCGCCGGAGTCAACACCAGAAACAATGGTCGTCTGCGTGCTTTCCGTGTGGTCAACAACTTTGTCTAGGCAAAGTCTCAGAACCACATATGGAACGGTGAGGTCGTGGCGCTTGCTGATTGGCTGAGGACTGGAAAACCATGTCTAGAGCACTTCGTGACTCACGGCGTTGTTGTCTCTAGCAAGAATATCTGCTTCGTCAGACTTAAATATTTGGTTGAGTTCCGGCAAATGATCCGTGACTTGGGAGTTTGCGTCGTTCCTCCTCGCTGCTGCTGCTGCTGCTGCTGCTGCTGCTGCTGCTGCTGCTGCTGCTGCTGCTGCTGCTGCTGCTGCTGCTGCTGCTGCTGCTGCTGCTGCTGCTGCTGCTGCATGCTCGACCATTCGCGTTCAGAGTAATCCTCCGGTTTCTTCGACGTAGTTGCTTTGTTCGCAGTTGCACCAGACCCGGTGTACAACTCCAGATATTTCCTGCCGTGGCAGTGGGTCTTTCCGTCTTATGATATGGCGCCTTCTGGCTGCCTCCGGTTTGTGTGTGACTCTAATCCCAAGTGGTGCAAGGAGGCGGCTGACGGCTTCTGAGGTATCCTTCACGTACAGAAGAGCTCGCCAAAATTTGGGGTCTGTTGGATTTCGTCTCTCGCCTTGTTTGCGCAGGCACTGATTGACGAAGTTGGGGGAGCTTTGAATACCCGTCGAAAGTGTTGTAGTTCAGAAACTTCGTCTTCCGGTTCACTGCAATGTGTTTCCACAAGCTGGTATAGCGTCCTTACGCAACTGCTTTTGTGACTGAGTGGGTGGTTGCTGTTGTAGCGTCGTGTTTGTTGTCTTCCTGAATACTTTGGTTTTTAGGTCGCCATAAGCTGTGCGGCAGACGAGGACATAAAGAAAAGCCAGCTGGTTGTTTTCTTCTTCCTCCATCGTAAATTGGATGTCCGGGAAGATGGCATTGAGATGTTCTTTGAATTCCCTCACCCGCTGCAACGGCTTGAGAAATACAAAAAGGGAGATTGCTGCATATACTGTTGGCACTCTGTTTAACAATGTTTCGAGGGAGACCTAGGTGATGGTATGTGCAGATACTTCGACAAATCGCACTTTCTGGTTTGCGAGGAGTAGAAGTACAGTGCGTGACCTATCTCATGAAATGTTGGCTGAAATTCTGAAATGCGTTTTCGATTAGGAAAGATTACTTGGTCGCGGTTGTGATACTGATTATCTTAAGGCATACTCTTATAACATTTTGGACTCGGCAGGATGTCGGCTTTTAAATGCACTTCTTTTCAATCTTCTGTAGAAAGGGTGCTCGGTAAAAAATGACTACTTAAATAGCATGCATTTTTCCCATTGACTTTCGATGGTCTTTGAAATTCAAATATATTTTATAGAAACCACCAACAAAAATATGCTTTCTTTTAGTCAATCAGTAGGGAATCACGTCTTATTTATAGTTTATACTTAAGGAAGGATTATAATTAGGTTTTAAAAAAGTTTTCTAATTACCGAAAAAATTGGAGCCTGATCATTCGTTGCATTAGCGCTTAGTGATTACACTCTACAAGGTGCATGCGTTCCGCGTAAAGAAAATCCCATATTTTTCTATGTCATTAAATAGATATCATACAGGGTCCATAAAATTTTGCAATGGATGCGGACCATGTTGTACATTTCATGAGGAGCAGTGGTAAACGGCCAGGTACGATGCTATGTGAATGGGACATATCGCGGTCTTAAAAAGCCTCATGATTAGAAACTTTTTTATAACCTAATTATGCTCCTTCTTCAAGTACAAAATATAAAGAAGACGTGATTTTCTATTGATTGACTAAAAGAAAGCATATTTTTGTTTGCGGTTTCTATAAAATATATTTAAATTTCAAAGACCATCGAAAATCAATGGGAAAAATGCATGCTACTTAAGTAGTCATTTTTTACCGAGCACGTTTTCTACAGGAGATTGAAAAGAAGTGCATTTAAAAGCCGACATCCTGCCGAGTCCAAAATGTTATAAGAGTATGCCTTAAGATAATCAGTATCACAACCGCGACCAAGTAATCTTTCCTAATCGAAAACGCATTTCAGAATTTCAGCCAACATTTCATGAGATAGGTCACGCACAGTAGTCATCACAGGTATCCAGAGTCAGTCATACAAGCACAGACTTCCTACCTAGGCATGGCACAACTTACAGTCATGTTGCAGCTTTTCTCTAGAAATTGACTCCATAGTGTGTGTGCGTGTGTGTGCCCCACAAACGGGCCACGTGTTAGATGCGCTGGACCAACACGGGGGCCACATCGAATGCTGGCAGGCGTTATCTGTGCGCAATAACAAATGCCAACATCTAGGGGGGTGCGTGAGCAGACCCTGTTGTCGGCAGTCATCGCACAACTGGACCACTGCCGTCACCCCATTGTTTTGTGGTCAAAATCCTGGTCACTGTTGTGTGGACCAGGGAGTGCGGAGTGGAGCGCCAAGGCGAGGATCCGTCCACGCCATCCACCTGCGGCCTCCCTCATCTCCGGTCTTCTTGACTCTGTCTTGGCACTGAACTCAGGCGAGGGAGGAGGAGAGAGTGTGGTAGATGCAGCGCAAGTTTACCGGCACTATAAACGCCTGCGCAAGTCACCGTCCCTGCTCCCATCGCTGCTGCTGCGGGGCATACGGTGGACATAATCGAAATCGATGGTCGAACTATCGTGTGTGTGTCCCCCACACGGGCCACGTGTTAAATGCGCTGGACCAACACCGGGGCCACATCGGATCCTGGCAGGCGTTATCTTGCGCAGTAACAAATGCCAACATTTTGGGGGTGCGCTGACAGACCCTGTTGACGGCAGTCGTCGTACAAACTGGGGCCCGCAAATATCGGTTTCACTGGTGCTTAAGGTCCGCCAAAATTAGATTATAGATCCAAAGATGACAATCGCCCCGTTGTTTTGTTGGTCAAAATCCTTGTCATTTGCCATTTGCTGCTGTTGCTACCGCTGCTGCCCAAGGCTACAATGTCACCGCCAGAAGTCGATTTATTCAGCGTTGCAAGTATAAACTTCCCTACCCCCGAAAGCATTATCTCAAGTCTCTTAGGCCTCCCAGCTATGCCTGTATGTCCGACAGTAATTTTGAAATGCTGTCGTTGGCTGACTCGCTAAAAATGCGCTCCCTCTCCAAATTTCAAAGGAGTGTTATCGCTGAAAAAACTTTTGCCGCTGGATGGCCGAAAATAGCTTCAGCCTGTTTTGGGATGTGTCGCCATGCTGCAATTATGCCGCTGTGCTATCCTCTACGCCCACCTGGTCTGGCATTATGTAGCATTTTCGATACAATGCTGAAAATAGGGTCCCGTATTTGAATTTTGTACAGTTTTTCTCCTCTTTGGTCCTTACTTAATGCATTCAACCCCATCCTTTTTCGGCTTGTTTTTTGGATTTTTCAGTTTATTTTAACTTAAAAAATCTCATCCTTGCAATTCTGTGTATCATCCATACTCTGCGTTCTGCAACTGTCGATTGTGTTTTTCGAGGACACACTCAGCCGTCAGGCGACCTGTCGGTTTCAAAACTCCGTCCAAATGTAATACTATGGACATTTATTCATCCGATCTGGCGCGATTTACGCCACTTTCCCAATCGAACTTACGCTCATCTAAATTCCTTAAAATGTCAGAACCTGACAACGCAGAAAGTTGTATGTGGATAGTCAGCCTTTGGGCATGGTAAGCGCGGAGCCTGAACAAAATACTTCTGGAAGCATAGGGTCGGTTTTCGTAACCTGATGGCGGTCGCTTCTGCTGTTGCTAACAGGCGCTGGTCCAGTAGCTTAGGGTAGCTAGAGGAGACCTTATAAATCACCCGAAAAGCTTCGTTGGGGTCCACACGATGTCCAGAATCGACAACATGCGCGAGAATGACGCTGCTTATGCTCCTCGTTTCGCCTTTTATCGGCCATGCCGGGAGGGGTTCCCGTATTCTCTTGGATAAGCGCCGACTCGTGCGACCAATATAATCTGCTCCACAGGAGTAAGTGAAGGAATAGATGCATATTGAGGTTATCTGCGGTGACAACTTATCCTTACCTTCTACGCGTAAAATAGGGTTAGTAGAGAAGGATACGTGAACGCTTGCCGCTGAGAAGGTTCGCGAAACAGCTTCATCAAGGCGTCTCTTTAGGAGTTCACTTGCAGCGTCTCCTTGGAAAGGGACTTTGAGGAACAACTTTTTCTTCTGTGCAGTCACTGCGGTGGATTTTTCGGGTCCTTTGGCACGGTTCCTTGTAATGAACCTGTCAGGATACCAGTTTTCGCGAAGCAAGTCCTGGATTTTTCTAAGTTCCTCCTCGATATTATCTGTTGAACAATTTTTTCTAGCCCTTTGTGCCAAACACTCCACTGGAGTTCGTTTTTGTTTGTGAGGTACGAAACCAGCGAAGTTCATGTATTGTCCAGACAAGGTTTTCTTCCGATAGACGCCTCTTCGGATGCAGCCCGTCCCATATAACTGTACAGGCCGGACGAGAAGTTGTCGAGGTAACAATCGGGAGATGGCACCCAAAAAAATCCGCCTAAACAAAGCAGCCTGTATTACGGGCCAGGTAGTAATAAGGGTTTTATGGGTGATAGCTGGTCGGGATGTACGATACTAGCCGACGGGAAGCCCTATTTGAACAGGTGTATGATCGAAGTTGGCCCGCTCTCCGTTCCGTTATTACAAAATGGGTCGCCAAAGGCAGTATAATGGTAACGGAAAACTGGAAGGTGTATAATCGTCTTCCCTCAGAAGGTTATTTACATTTCTCTGTTAACCACTCAAAGAACTTCAAGGACCCTACCGCCGGACGGCACACCAATGCCAGTGAGGCATACTGGGGTAGACTGAAAAGGAAACTCCACGAAAGAGGCCCTATATGTGGTCAAGCTGTGTGGGCTCACATAGACGAAGTACAGTATCGCCTTTGGTTTGGCCTCAATGCCATGTCTTTAACAGATGCCTGGGAACTGTTCCTGTCCCATGTTGTGCAGATTTATCCTATTTAAAAGTGATTTTGTTTTGTAATAAACTGCCATAATGAGAATGTATGTCGTATATTCAGGTGTACGTGTATAAAGATGGGCAAGGTTGGGTAACAACGACCATCGTCCATGTAACCTCCTGCGATATTCGTTCGGCCAGCCCTTGTTAGGCCGTCGCGGAAAGTTCAAGTAGTGCGTGAAAGTAGGTCTGCAACCGCTGATATAGCCTAAAGGCGTTTGAGTCTACTGTTAAAGGTATTATTTCTAGGTAACGGATTTTTTTGGGTGCCATCTCCCGATGGTTACCTTGAGCCCTTTCCTATTGGTGTGCTCTCCAATCGGAAACTGTGACACCTGCTACCTAAC